ACATCGATAGCTCTGGCAGATCGGGACACCAAAGCCGAGGAACCTCCTTCTTCCTCTTCTTCTTCCTCTCCTTCTTCCTCTTCTCTCAGTCGTTGGACCGAGTCGATCAAAAGGGCAATAGCTTTCCTCCTTACCCTTCGAGTTTTGGGCTTGGGGCCCTCTAATCGAGAGGCAGCTTTGCATTTTTTGTCTTTCCCCGATTTCGGGACAGGGGACTCATTTCCTTCTTCACCGCTCGAAGGCCTCAAAGCGGCGTCCTTGGTTACGCCTGCATAAAAGGAAATCGGTAATGAATGGAGCACAAAGAGCGCTTCGAAGGAAACGAGAAGTAAAACCTTACCATGGTTCTTGGCTTCCCATCTGCCTTTAGCCAAATCACGCCAAGCACGTTCGGCATAAGAGAAAGTCGGGGCTAACTTCCGAACCCAATCTTCGAGGTCGGGCACTTCTTGTGGTATCCAAGGGGAAGCTGTATATCGGGAAGAAAACATTTTAAAAAAAAAGCCGAAGTCTTATGAGAACAACTTACGATCGAAATTCCATTCCTCGGGGAATGGCATCTACTCTTCCGGAATGAGGTCACGGGTCCTCACCCAAATGTAACGCACCATCCAATATAAAGGATAGAGAAGAAGGGATGAGAAGCTCAGACTTGGAATGAGGGTGAGAGTATACAGACACTAGAGAAGGGAGATGAGGAGAAGCAGACATTTTACTCAACAATACGCATACCCTTTTTACAGCATCGATTCTCTTTTTATTAAGCCCTTCACCTTAGTCTTCTTGCCCGGGTCCCACACAAAGTTTTCTAATATTCCAAACTGGCCCTTCAACTTAGTCTTCTGGCCAATCTCGTTCATAACAGAGTACTAGTAATTCTGCACGAGTGTGTGTTGTCTCTATTATGCTTTTAGCATAGCCTACAATCCCTTCCCTATTTGCATTTCGAATAACTCCTCTTATGCCTCCATGCCTAAGATTAGTGTTTGCTGCACCATCAGTATTAAGCATAAAGTAGTTGTCTTTTGGTGGTTTCCATTTGACCACAATATACTATTCTATTGTACCTGTAAATTTATTGTTTCATATGTGTATTTGATAAATGATAATTGTGCCTAGTTGGTATAATATTGAATGCATCCGTGACAGCAAAATTATCTGGCTATATTTTTAATGAGAAGCAAGAAATTGAAAATCTTGACACTCTACGACATAAGGATATCAAATTATACACACTGTTTTGTTGTCTAATGCTGTGAATTAGCTTCAGTTACTTACTGCCTTCTTGTGTGGTGAAACCAACTTGGAGCGTTGGAAACTGATTTAGGGTTGTTTTGGATCTTTTTAAATGTCATCTGTAATGGTCGCTTTTTTAAATTCCAGGCTTTGGTCTTGATACACAGGTTTTTTGGGGTCACTCTTGTTGCATTCTACGTCTTGTGGCTTTCTTCTACTCCCGGAAGTTCACCATTTAATATCAAGGTACAACTTCACAATTTGGCAGCCACTTTTTGATGATTCAGTCAACTGTTTTGATGAAAAATGGTAATAATGCAGGGACTGTTCTCTGTGTCCTCAACCATAAAACAGGAACTAAAAGTGAAAGTCGGTCACACGAATACTCCAAACTCGGCAAGTTGGAGCAACCGTGGGTGGTTTTACGTGTCAGTGAGAATTGGCTTGTTTCTTTGGGTAAATGCTTTGGCTTTAATTCTCAACTATTGCAATAACTTCTAATAGTATTTTTTTTTATCGATTCTTTGATGCTTGTCTCCTGAATAAGGTTCTTGCATCATTGTTTCTCAGGTTGCTTTGCTTAATCTTATTACTATATCTTCAACTTGGGCTAGAGTTATTGATGTGATGGATAGTGAGGTAATTATGTCTCCGATTGATTCGATAAGTTTAAACAGATATCACCTCCTACAGAAGGGAAGTTAAATGGATTTAATTGAGTGCCTTGCCTTAATGGTAGTAAATTTTGAGATATGATTTAACTTTTTCCTTATGCAGTCAGGTTTAAGATTGTTTGGGTTTATTGGTGCTGGTGCTACACTTGGCCAGCTGTTTGGTTCGCTATTTGCCACGAGAATGGCTTGGTTAGGACCGCGTGTGTATATCTTTATGTTTTTTCTTGCTTCCTTATTCTTTTGAGGCTCTTTTACTTTCTATTTTCTTAGTAGTTCCTTTTTTGGTTCTTGTAGATTTACTTCTTGTTTCAGCAATTCTCATGGAACTTGCTGCACAATCATCAAAAGGGATCAAGAAAGATGTCTTACAATTTCCTGAAGAACTATCTCCCTTCAGGTTTTCTTCTTCTTGTTGTTCTTGTTCTACTCTGATCGGGTGTATTATTTATTAGATTTTATTAGCAATAGAATTAGTCCATCAGATGAGATTAGGGCGAGAGGTCTCTAATTGTATGATCAGCTCCCTCGGTAGCTCCTTTGAAGCAAGCAATTAAAGCTCTTTCTCTAGCCTCTATCAGCCTTTGGATGACTGTCTCATGTTTCTTACCCCGCTGTTATAGTGTTATGCAGTGGTGTACATAGAATTTTATGTAAGTAGTGTCATATTTAATAAGGTGAACAAATGAAAAAAATTACTATAAAAACTATCTTAATAAAAAACATTCAAATACATTAATAAAATATATGTCTTCAACGACTTTTCTTTTTCTTGAATAAATGATACGGGAATTTTTAATAATTTATTGAGAAATTTAAACAAGAGTTCTTGATTTTAAAATTCTTTATCCTTAATAATGAAGTTTTTTAGAGCAATGATTGATTTGTCTTTTTTTGTTTTAACTTTTTTTCTTGGATTTCTGAACTGTCTTTCCATGTTCAGTGTCATTTTAAGACTCTTCTTGGTGTTAGTTATAAAAAGGGAAAAAAGTAAAAGGCGAAAAAAAACTGGATGAAGCACAGCTGGAGAATCTAACCCGTGTCAACACATTTGTGTAGTAATCCAATATTATTGCCGGAATGGAGCACCTCCCATGGTCAAATGATGTCATTCTAGTCTTATTTATCTGTTATTTCTTTTTTAATTTGTCATTTATAAATATATTTAGTGAATTTTTCGGCGAAGCGATGTCACGTTACACCACTTGTATCCATGTGCATCCGCCGCTGGTGTTATTCCTGTTTTGCTGTTGCATTGGTGTCTCATCCATCCCTGGGTGGTGGGTGCACTTCTTTATTAGTGAAAGTTCTCTCTGCGGTGACATAATTTTGCCTAGTCTAGTTGAGTCATGGTGTAAGTTCGATATAGATCTTTAGCAGCTCCCTTTATTTATTTTCTTTTGGGATACGAAAGTGTTTGATCTAGCAGGAAATGCTTTTTACAAGAAAAACTGGAAAAAGAGATAACTGCTGTACCCACAAGTTACCATGAATCTAATATCTGTATCTGTGCTACATAGAGTTTGATAGTCCTAGAGTATAAAGAGGATGCCATTCATTTAACTCCTTAAAGAACACACTGTACTAATGATTGTAAATATGTGCTTTCTCTACACTTTACCAATTGAATACCTCTCTAGACAGTAATACCTCCCTCACAAGTTAGATAAAGGGTGTGTTTGGTACGAAGAGAAACATTTTCTGGAAAATATTTTCCCATGTTTGGTTGGCTTAAATGTTTTGGAAAACATTTTCCTTATGAACTCATTTTCC